ACTTCTCTCCAGAATCTCCCAAAAGCAAAGTGTCATCAGCAAACAGCAACTGTGGCAACGCCCACTTTGTGTTTGATTTTTTATCTTTTGACTCCACACCTCTTGCCAACACCCGAGCATTCACTTCGGTTAAAACCCCATCTATAAATATATTGAACAACCATGGTGACATCACACATCCCTGTCTAAGGCCTACTCTTTTGTCTAGAGACAAGACACTGTCTGCTATCAAATGCGTTCCCGCTGTGTTCTTATTTATATATCCCCTTTCGTGTGTGTGTGTGTGTGTGTGTGTGTGTGTGTTGTGTGTGTGTGTGTGTGTGTGTGAGTGTGTGTGTGTGTGTAATGCTGAGGGATCGATCCTCTGTCAAGGACCTGACGCCCTGACTTCTCAGAGACCGAAGAGTATACCAACCTGGACTGTCGTCTCTAGTCGTTGCCATACGACCAGAAATGTAGAAGAGGTATATTCCATCCCTGGTTTTGGAACTAAAAGACGTGATACCGAAAAAGTCGTCCATTGAGGTACATCAGCGGTATTTTATATACACAGACAAGCATGTTCTAAAGGCACCATGTGCAGGGTTAAGGTATTATGCTGCCATTTATTAACATGAAAGACAATAGTGTAAATACGAATAAATTTCCTCCTAAGTCTTACCCCCGAAATCCTGTGAAACCAATTTCTCACAAACTCCCTTTTTTTATTTTTTTAATATTCAGGAAAAAAATGTATTTTTTTCATTCTATGAAAAATCTACAACAACAGCTAGAACAACAACAACAACAACAAAAATACAACAATACCAACCCAAAAAGAAGAAAAAGCCAACGAGAAACAACCACAACACAACCACAACACAACCAAAACACAACCACAATACACAACCACAACATAACCACAAACACAAAACCAAAACACAACCACAACACAACCACAACACAACCACAACACAATCACAGCAACCACAACACAACCACAACACAACCACAACACAACCACAACCACAACCAACAAACACAACCACAACACAACCACAACACAACCACAACACAACCACAACACAACCACAACCACAACATAACCACAACCACAACCACAACATAACCACAACACAACCACAACACAACACAACCACAACACAATCACACCAACATCATCAGTACAACCCGAAACACAGAAACACAGATCACAAAAACATATACAGTAGTTACATTTCTGCTAGTCTCCCAAACACTGCTGCTGGAAATTACTTTAATAAATAGCCGTGATTATATTATGTACATTTGTCGTAAAATTAAACAGTAATTATATTTTAGATAATTCCAGGCAATAATTTTGAAACTACGACGTGAAAATTTAAATTCCAAACAACTACAATATATATATATATATATATATATATATATATATATATATATATATATATATATATATATATATATATATATATATATATGTATATACACACACATTAAGTAATAATTCTAGACATGTGTATTTCAAACTCGTCTATCATGTCAATAATAATCAAATAATTAACAAGGGAAATTAATTACTCGGATGGCAATCAAATAACTTACATTTTTGTCATATTTTATGAGTTTATAATTTTGTGTTAAAAATTTTACCCATTAAATTAAATTCTTCCCTTTGTGTGTGTTTGTGGATATATAATATATATATATATATATATATATATATATATATATATATATATATATATATATATATATATATATATATATATATATATATATATATATATATATAATTGCATAATATGGTACAAAAGATTTAAGGGATACATTGTTGATATAAAGATGACATATACAGTACATGAGATGTGAGAGATACATGTCTAGTACATACTGTTACGTGTTTGTCACTGATTGTAATGCGAAAATCTCATCCAGCTCCTCAGAGCTGGGGCGTGTGCCCAAAATACAGCAGGCATTACCCCTCTGAACAGCAGCGCTGAGTTGCTGGAACAGAAAACTAGCTGCCCTGGGATCCCTAGTTACCCTGATGAGTCTTTTGCCCAGTTCCTTAAGGAACTTAGATGGATTCTTTCTCTATGAGCCAAGGGTTTTCAAGGCTATGGGAACAAATATATAACGATGGACAAGTTCTCCATATTTTCTAGACTTTAGGGACTCCCTGAGGCTGGCGGCTGCCCCTCCTTCCTCCCTGGTGTATTGGAGATAGGTATTAACCAAGGTAGATGCACAAGTGTAGTCCCACACCACCTGCTTACCGTCTGTCCAGGCTTGAAGGGTGATACCATCTGGACGCTTCTGGCTGCCATCAGATCTGCATAGTTGGGGTGGCTCCCTTACTGCTGGGCATCCGGCTATTGTGAGGCTCCTCTTGATAATGTTATTAACCTCATGTCTTGCATTCTTTCCCTCGGATTTACGGCACACAAGACCATGGTACCCAATTCGGTCTGCTGCTTCACTGCCACAAATACACTTGTGTTCGGCGAGAATAGGGGCGGCATGTCGAAGGGCAACACCAATGCGGATGGTCTGTGGGTCAAGGCGTGTGCCAAGGCTGGAGTTGGGAACAGCCAACAGAAAGTCCCCAGCATGAGGAGCTCTCACTGCCAGGAGGAGGGCAGTATCCTTCCCTGACACACTCCGAAGCATTGTTGAGGCTATTTTCTCCACTATCGGGCCATCCCAGTGCGATTGTTTGTAGTTGTTGGGGGTAGCAGGTCTGGTTTCAGAGCCCGTTAGATTATCCCAGATCATGGCTCCGTCAATAAACTTTTGGTTCTGGACTCCAATCTTGTCCCTAAGATGTTCAGGGATAATCGCTGCTACAAGCCCTCTGGAAGCAATACATGAGGACAGAAAAACAGGTAGCGCAATCTGTGATGACTTGCGGGCACCAATGCCTCCTAGTCTGACTGGAAGTGTAGCTTGGTTCCACTGCCCGTCTTCTAGAGTAAGGTTAAGTACTTTCGTAAAAATCTGCCTCAGGATACTGTCATATTCGTGCAGTATAGGGTTATCATATGAAGGTGCACATCTTAGGAAATATGTCAACCTGGCCAGACTCAAGCACTTTGTGAGGAGGTACAAGGCATCGTGGGTGTCAAAACTGTCTATTCGTTGTTCCCTTCTACTCAACCCTTGTGTCAATGGCATTGCTTCCCAGAGGTGCTGCAAGCAAGACACTATTGGTGGGGGCAATGACTGCTGCTCCTGGTAGGTTTGATCTCTCTTCATTCTATCACTTGTTGATTGACTGAGATGATTTCACATTTGAATGCATTCAGGATGAGACCCATTTTCTGTCCCCGTGTCACCGTCTGTGTAAGATCATATATATATATATATATATATTATATATATATATATATATATATATATATATATATATATATATATTGAGAAGGTGGACAAAGACAGGATGTTCCAGAGATGGGACACAGCAACAAGGGGACACAGTTGGAAGTTGAAGACACAGATGAATCACAGGGATATTAGGAAGTATTTCTTCCGTCACAGAGTAGTCACGAAGTGAAATAGTTTGGGAAGCGATGTAGTGGAGGTAGGATCCATACACAGCTTTAAGCAGAGGTATGATAAAGCTCATGGTTCAGGGAGAGTGACCCAGTAGCGACTAGTGAAGATGCGGGGCCAGGAGCTATGAATCGACCCCTGCAACCACAACTAGGTGAGCACAACTAGGTGAGTACTCACACACAAGTACATCAGGCCCATATTAAAGCATGAAGCACCTGTCTGGAACCTACACTGGTGAAGTACGTCAAGAAATTAGAGAAAGTGGTAAGGTGTTCAACATGACTAGTCCCGGAGCTAAATGGTATGTCCTACAAGGAAAGGTTAAGGAAAATTAACATGACGTTAACTTGGCAACACTGGACGACAGGAGGAGTAGGTGGGAGGGTCATGATAACGACATATAAAATATTGAGAGGAACTGACAAGGTGGATAGGGACAATGTTTCAGAGATGGGACACAGCAACGAGGGTCACAACTGGATGTTGTAAATTCAGATGAGTCACAGAGATGTCAGGAAGTATTTCTTCAGTAATAGAGCTGTCAGGAAGTGGAACAATCTTGAGAGTGATGTAGTAGAGGCAGGATCGATACATAGCTTTAAGAAGAGATACGATAAAGATCATGGAGCAGAGAGTGAACCTAGTAGCGACCAGCGAAGAGGCTGGTCCAGGAGCTGTGATCGACCCCTGGAACCACAAATAGGTGACTACGTATGGAGGACAGGATTGTAGATAAAAGAACTGGGAACTAAATATTTTTAAAATTTCAAACCTAAGCTAGATCCCATGGGAAATCGCTAAGCCAAATCCCCAACCTGTAGACTAATGAGATCTTTGCAGATGTTGCGGAAATGTCATAAACAGTGCCACACATGCCACATTTCGTTGACAGTCAAAGAGCAACACTGTATATTACCATGCTCATTAATTTTCGTGTTTGACTGGCAATTTGCGGGCTTGTCTATGGTAGCACTGTGAAGCAGCAGAATGTGTGCCAAACCATTGGTCACAGGCAAAATAAACAGGCATCACAGAGGCACAACTGACAACTATGACAGGAGGATCGAGCATCTACCATTCTTTGGAGTGAATAACCAACACAGGCTCAGAGTTTCCTGTAAATAAATTGAAATCATGAGAACTCACATAGTTGTGAATGGAACAACTACGTGGAAGAAATGGTATGGGGTCGAGATTGAGAACTTTTTTTTTTATATATTTTGATATCTTTTTCAATGTATGGTGTGTACTTCATTTGTTTTGAAGTCAGTTGGAGCATTGTCCACGGGTCACCACCACCGCGACCCGTTCTCTGACCAGGTCCGACTGACTAACCGAACCTACTCACTAGAAAGACCTACTGACTAACCAGACTTCCTGATGATTAAGCCTAAAATTTGGTCTCTGACTAGGCCAACTGAATTATCAAAGTCTATATCACAGCAGCAAATAATTACCCGAACCTGAAGTTACCACCTCCGGGTTTCAGTAAATCAGTGGGTAGACACACTACACACACTGCCCCGTGTGGCAGTGTGTGGCACTCGAGAGAGGCAGTTCGGGTGTTGGCACTGTGAGGCGCTCAGTAGTGTGGCACTGTGTCTGGCGAGAGGACTAGCGCTCCTCCTTGTCTCTACCTCACTCACTCGCCGGCACCACCACCACCACGCCTCAACCATCCACACCTTCACATCAACCACATAATCGCATATACATCTTGCTTTGAATAGTTACCCATATACTGACTAGCAACCAAACGTCAATTATTTTATATTTTCCGAAAAAATCTGCGCTTTTCCTGGTTAAGCAGACTTTAACTCCATCTAACAACTAGAAATCAACCAGTGTCATCAACCAAATAAAAGACGAACTTCCTGTAGTTGTTAGAAAAGAAGTGTTCCAGAAATGTTCGCTCAGCACAGTGACCCCAAGATCAACCAACGAGGATGTCGGGTCCAAGTATCGTGACCTCAGATGACCCCCAGGATTTGATTTATTTTTGTACCCAGAGTTAGAGGTCACCATGCAACACTGAGCTGATGATCTCATAGTGTTTAAGGAAATCAATACTAAAAATACCGTAAAGTATGTGCCAAATAATATTCGAAGGTGTTGAGAGTTGCGTGTGCGTGAGAGTCTCGTGTTACCAGTGGTATTTACGACGTGTGAATTTGCCACTGTGAAAGACGAAGTGTGTGATTTAAGGAAGGTTTGAAATCAGAAAAGAACACCTCGCGAAGTGAATGTTTATGCATTATTCTCAGAAAGATGAATTCCCCTAAAGTTACGAGACTAGTCGAAGAGGTACAGTAGAGTGGTATGGGAGACGGGGGATAACGGTAATGGGATCGAGCGACATGAAGTGACCTTGAGGTGGGGGTAAACACGCCCCGTGTGCAGGAAGGGAAGCGTGAGGGAACAAGTGGTTGCAGAAAACGAAAGCACAAAAAAGGGGACAAGATGAGTCGAGCCACAAATCTATGATAGTTGATGGTTCAAGAATATCTCTCACAGAAAACGAGGAGATAGGAAGTAATTTACATGAAAGTCAATGACACGGCGAATCTTTATTTATGAAAGTAAGGATGAAGAAGAAGCATCCTTACCAGAGATGACCTAGGAACTGGATATCCTGCTAGAGGAGCGTTCAATCCTCCAGAAAGCACTTGCGTGTGGAGAGGGTTTCATCTCACGTGCTCGCTCACTCACTCACTCACACACACACACACACACACACACACACACACACACACACACACACACACACACACACACTTCCGGATCTCAGTCCCTGACACCTGAAGTGAGCTCCAGAAGGCCTGGACTACGTAGTGAAGCGAGTGTCAACATTACCAAGAAAGGGAGAGGATATACACCAGAGTACTGACGGTATACATCAGTCCTCTGGGGTTTATTAGGACAAACTCAGGGTACGTTACGGATGAACCAGCCTCCGGAAGGTTCGTAAGGACAAACAGTACCATCCAGGGTTCGGTACGGACATATCCAGCCGTACCAAGTGTTCACCAAAAAAAAACATTGTCCCACTGTTGGAAACACACCAACCCACCACCGGGAAAAGGGGACGGGGGTTGCAAGGACACACCATCCCACCACCTGGGAGGCTGGTTGGCAAGGATGGCACCGACCGTGAGAGTGCCCGAGTGAGGGCCAGGCATCCTCGAGGAGACAATAATCAGGATGGACGCATGTCACGGCACCACCAGGTAGGTCTGTCTTAGAGGACATCAGGAATGAGGGAGGAGGAGGAAATTCATCTCTTGAAGGGGAGAGACTCACATCTTGAAAAGGGAATGCTTATGATTTAAAAGAGAGGGGAAACTGACTTCTGAAAGGGGAGGGAGGCTGACGTCTTGAAGAAGGGGTGGTTGACGTGTTGGGGATGAGGAGGGGAAAGGGGGATAGGGAGGGGACGGGATTTGTAGAAATAAGGGAGTGGCTAATTAAGGCCAAAGGTCATTTTTTTCCCTTTAATGGGTGATTTTCATTGTATTGCTGCAGGTCGACCAGTGACCAGGGAAGCAACACTTGAACTCCCACAAACATACTGGAAAAATCATACGATTTTTATAAGGACAATTTCTCTGGTTTTCATCATCTTACTTTTTTTTTAAGTCTTTCTCGCCAGACTGTACTCTCGGTTGTGTTACTGTACACATCTTGGTTGTGTTACTGTACACATCTTGGTTGTGTTACTGTACACATCTTGGTTGTGTTACTGTACACATCTTGGTTGTGTTACTGTACACATCTTGGTTGTGTTACTGTACACATCTTGGTTGTGTTACTGTACACATCTGTGTGAATTTAGTTAAATATTTTGTGGCTGTGGCTTATAAAGCGTGTGTGTGTGTGTGTGTGTGTGTGTGTGTGTGTGTGTGTGTGTGTGTGTATGTGTGTGTGTGTGTGTGTGTGTGTGTGTGTGTGTGTGTGTACTCACCTAGTTGAGGTTGCGGGGGTCGAGTCCGAGCTCCTGGCCCCGCCTCTTTACTGATCGCTACTAGGTCACTCTCCCTGAGCCGTGAGCTTTATCATACCTCTGCTTAAAGCTATGTATGGATCCTGTGTGTATGTGTGTGTAATATCGTGCCGAACAGGTGAAACTTGCGATTTTGGCTTAAATAGCAAGGCACTTCTTGCCGAATAAGGCAAGCGAAAATTTTCACAAAAAACATTCTGAACCTAACGAAAAAAAATATATTTCACTGTGTTTGCTTATTAAAATATTGTAAACTTATCTAAAATATGTTTAGTTGGATTAGGCTAAATAAAACTGCGCTTGTTATAATAAGGTTAGGTAAGTTTTCTAAGGTTCTTCTGGTACAAAATTATTAATTATTACATTAACATAAATTAAAAAAATATATATAAACGTGTAAGAGGAAATTTTAGAAAGGACTTATTTTTAAACGAGTTCTTGCTAACTTCCCAGTTTTACCTATTCGGAACGACATTATAAGCCCTTCAAGAGAAATCAAAATTCATTGCCTCGATGCCTTTTTGTCTACTTCCCGAGATTATGTGTCCAACAACTTGCATTAAAAGTGGATTTTTCATTACTTGTTGATGATATTGTTTGGAGAGTGTGTCTGTTTTTGTAGATAGAACATTTAGGCTAATCTATTATGGACCACTCAGTTCGGTGGTAGATTATTGGATTAATACACCATCAGTTCGAATCCCTTCCCATTCTTTAGTTTAAAATTATAAAATAAAATTTAACCAATGCGGAACCAGACATTTGCAAATTGTGGCTTCGTCTGTATATCTAAGTACAAATGTACTTAGTCCCTACATTTGAATATCTAAGTACAAATGTACTTAGATATACAAATGTAGGGACTAAGTACATTTGTACTTAGAGAGATATACCAAAGGGACTCCAGGTCGATCCCAAACATCCCTGAAGAAAAGATGATGTTAGTTCTCTTACCACTGGAAGTCTTCCTGCACATGTATGGTACCGCGGTATTCGTTTTAAGGACGTATCTCACGTGTTATCTTTCAGTGTTGAATAATGGAATGCAAGTAACGTGCTTCCTCTCTGGGCCAACGCGGAGCATCAGTGCTCTGTACGTGCTCCCTTGGCTCTTTCTGGAGGTAGATCACACTAAGATAAATAAGCCAGAGAATATTTTCTTAAGTGGAGTATACATGCTGACAGGCATGTACCTTTTGGCATATCTATATCTATATATATCTATATATATATATATATATATATATATATATATATATATATATATATATATATATATATATATATATATATATATATATATGTAGTGCCGAAAGGCAGAACTTGCGATCTTGGCATAAATAGCAACGCTCATCTTGCCATATAGGACAAGTGAAAATTTGTGTATGCAATAACTTCGCCAAAATCATTCTTAACCTAACGAAAAAAATATATTTCATTGTGTTTGTTTAGTATTAAATTAATGTAAACAAATCTAAAATATATTTAGTTGGGCTAGGCTAAAATAAATTGATTTTGTTATAATAAGGTTAGGTAAGTTCTCTAAGATTCTTTTGGTGCAAAATTAAATTTTTTTACATTAACATTAATGAAAAAATATATCTTTAAACGTTTAAGAGTAAATTTTAGAAAGGACTTAATTTTAACTGAGTTCTTGCTAATTGACCAGTTTTACATATTCGGCACGACATTATATATATATATATATATATATATATATATATATATATATATATATATATATATATATATATATATTCTGAGGCAGATTTTTACGAAAGTACTTAACCTTACTCTAGAAGACGGGCAGTGGAACCAAGCTACACTTCCAGTCAGACTAGGAGGCATTTGTGTCCGCAAGTCATCACAGATTGCGTTACCTGCTTTTCTGTCCTAGTGTATTGCATCCAGAGAGCTTGTAGCAGCGATTCTCCCTGAACATCTTAGGGACAAGATAGGAGTCCAGGACCAAAAATTCATTAACGGAGCAATGATCTGGGATAATCTAACGGGCTCTGGAGCCAGACCTGCTCCCCCCAACAACTACAAACAATCGCACTGGGATGGTCCAATAGTGGAAAATATTGCCTGAACAATGCTTCAGAGTGTGTCAGGGAAGGATAGAGCCCGCCTCCTGGCAGTGAGAGCCCATCATGCTGGGGACTTTCTGTTAGCTGTTCCCAACTCCAGCCTTGGCACACGTCTCGACCCACAGACCATCCGCATCGGTGTTGCCCTTCGACTTGCCGCCCCTATTCTCGCCGAACACAGGTGTATTTGTGGCAGTGAAGCAGCAGACCGATTCGGGTACCATGGTCTTGTGTGCCGTAAATCCGAGGGAAATATTGCAAGACATGAGGAGGTTAATAACATTATCAAGAAGAGCCTCACAACAGCTGGATGCCCAGCAGTAAGGGAGCCACCCCAACTATGCAGATCTGATGGCAGCCAAAAGCGTCCAGATGGTATCACCCTTCAAGCCTGGACAGATGGGAAGCAGGTGGTGTGGGACTATACATGTGCATCTACCTTGGCTGATACCTATCTCCAATACACCAGGGAGGAAGGAGGGGCAGCTGCCAGCTTCAGGGAGTCCCAAAAGTCTAGAAAATATGGAGAACTTTCCCATCATTATATGTTTGTTCCCATAGGCTCAGAGACCCTTGGCTCATGGGGAAAGAGTGCATCTAAATTCCTTAAGGAGCTGGGAAAAAGACTCATCAGGGTAACTAGGGATCCCAGGGCAGCTAGTTTTCTGTTCCAGCGGCTCAGTGCGGCTGTTCAAAGGGGTAATGCCTGCTGTATTTTGGGCACACGCCCCAGCTCTGAGGAGCTGGATGAGATTTTCGCCTTATAATCGGTGATACACACGTAACAACATGTACCGTATATGCCACCTTTATATCAATAATGTATCTCTTAAATCTTCTGTTTATATATATATATATATATATATATATATATATATATATATATATATATATATATATATATATATGTCGTGCCGAATATGTAAAACTGGTCAATTAGCAAGAACTCATTTAAAATTAAGTCCTTTCTAAAATTTTCTCTTATACGTTTAAAGATATATTTTTTTCATTTATGTTAATGTAAAAATTAATAATCTTGTACCAAAAGAACCTTAGAAAACTTACCTAACCTTATTATAACAAGCGCAATTTAATAAGTTAATAATTTAATAAAAGAACGCAATGAAATGTATTTTTTTTCGTTAGGTTCAGAATGATTTTTTTGCGAAATTATGGCATACACAAATTTTCGCTTGCCTTAATCGGCAAGAAGAGCGTTGCTATTTAAGCCAAAATCGCAACTTTTACCTATTCGGCACGACATACAAACACACACACAGGTATGTATCTGTCATTACATGTATACTGAGGTCTATATCTTTGCGTATATACGCCCAAAATATTTTCATACTCCCTGAAACAGGAATTAAAATTATCTTTCAGAGTAAATAACTCTCGGCGCATATCTTGCTTATACATGAATATATATTGTATGAGTTATGTCTAATTGGAAAGGATTAGGAATTCCAACCATACTGGTACCCACGGAGAGTTCAAGACATCAACATTGGCCTTATTTGGTTAGGAATTGCACGAGCAACATCATTCACGTTTCGCAACGAAATGGCTTCTTCAGTCCAATGCAGAGAAAAGTAGAAGATGGGAAGTTTGAGGTAATCAGTCCTTCAGCCTTGAGTCGTGTTTAGTCCATCAGTCGTGACAAAAGTGAAGCATATTCACGGAGATGAGGCTTATGCACTGATGATAATTGAGGTGGAGCAGAAGCGTCTGATTTATCGACTTGATGACTTGCTAATGGTCCGGGAAGGACCGAAACGTTTCAAAGCGAGGGTTATCTGTGGATTCATCATCGTTTGTTGGTTTATGAATCTGGTTTAAATTCTATCGACTAAACGAACTTCAAAACATCTGCATGTAACCTGTTCAGCACCAGCCGATAATACTCGAATCAATAAAGTAAGGATTAAAGCAAACTCTCGATGTATATACACCGAGACATACACATACATCTCTGTGTGTATATATTCTTATGTGTCAACTAGGGTATTCCTTAAATTTTCTCAGATATGCAACTCTTTTTGTTTTTCTTTTAAGAAATCAATATACTAGCGCGACGATATACGGCCGGAAGGTTACAATTTCCACCAAGAGATGGCATGAGTGTGTCCGAGCGCCA